CCTGCTGAAACCCTGGGGATGGGCTGGGAGTGGGTGTGTTGTCTTAATCAGGCTGTCTCGTTGTCTGGTACCTTCTGTCCTTTAGGTGATATCAGCCCTGCTTTGCCTAAATGTCTGTGAGTTTGAAACAGTATTAATTGCTACTGCTTTTTTTTTTTTTTTCCTGGTTGCGACAATAATAGATATTTAGAAAATTTGAAAAATGTGACAAAAATCGCTCGTGATTCTGAGACCTAGAGATAATCACCATTAACGTTTTGGGAGCATTTCCTTCTCACCTTATCTCTCTGTGTATGTGTGTCTGTAGAATTGGGATCTCTGTGTATTTAGTTACATTTGACACTTAATTATCAACTTTTCCCATATTGTTAAATAGCATTTAAAAAGTAGTTGGGGTTTCTAACTCTACTAGGAGGCATGTCAGTTGTTTCTGGACATTTATAGTCGTGTGCATAAATCTTGGTCGCATCATTTCATACCTTGTAAAGGCATTAGGGTCTTTAGGCCATGTGAAGGGACAAATCTTGGCCTCTGAGACTGTTAGAAACCAAATTAGACCAGGGCAACAAATGAGCCCCGAGAAAGGGCTCCTCCTTGGTTCCTTCTGTAGCTGCAGAGCCAGGTCCAGAACCCAGACCTTTGACTTCCAGTGCAGGTCTCTGCCCATTGACAACCCAGAAGAGGCCTGGAGTTTGAGGGGTGGGGGCTTGGAGTCGACTGGCCACACTCCAAGTGGCTCCACCATCTACTATGAACTGTGGGTTTTTGGTGGTCCACTTAAGGTCTCTAAACCTTGGACCCCTCGCCTGAGAAATTGGGGTACAGTGAGGAGTGCAGCGAGGATGCAGTGCTCCCTCACATATAGACCACTCAGCATGGTACCCGGCCTGTCGTCCACTCTCAAGGAAGAGCGGTCTTTTTTAAATGTTCCAAATCCAGTGAGTCTAGCAAAACGGTGTCCCCACTGTTACAGGTGCTGAAGGAGTAAATGTGCAGATATTCTGATTTTCTCTCAGGTGACATTTTCTCCCTACAGTTGCAAGATTCCTCGAAATTTTCCATTTCCAGGGAAACGCAGTCTAAGATTAAACATTTGCATCAGATAATCCACAAAGTAGACAATCCACAGGCAGATTGTAGACACTTGGCTCTCCAAAAATGGACAGGAATGGCCCACGGGGGAGACCAGACTGCATCATGCAGCATTTGCTCTTCCCTCCGAGGAGACTGGGCTCCTGCATTTCCCCACAACCACACCGCCCCTGCTCCACGGCCCCACCAATGGCCTTTATTCCAACGGGGACCCACGGGGCAGAGGCCCAGGAGCCTCCAGGATGGTGGACCCTTAGTTACTGTGTCTGCTGTCCATCTGCCTCTGCTTTTATGGTGTTCTTTTCAGTCAGTTAACCCAGTATATATCGGCCCTATCCCTGGGCCCACCCCTTTGCAGAATTTGTTGTCGTTGTTGTTCTAAAGTATGAGGTGTACCTTGCTGTTGAGTCCTTGACGGTGTAGCTGAACAGGTAAAATCAGACAGACAGGCCCCCCTCACCCACCCCTCTTTGCTGACCGCTTGTCCCGTGCCCTTCCAGTTCTGTCAGGCCAAGCAGAAGGCGGCCTTGCTGGAGCTGCTGCACGAGCTGTACAACTTCCTGGCCATCCAAGCGGGTGAGTAGGTCTCCCGAGGCCCAAGACTCCTCATGAGCGGGTTGTGGGCTGAGATGCCGTGTCATCTCCCAGAAGACATGCTCAGAAGCCCAGTCTCCCCTTCCCTGCCTCCCCACAGACGCATCTTGTTTAAGCCTTGCATCTGGGCAAAACGCATAGGTTCCTGAAGGATCCCAGGGGTCCTGGCATGTGCATAGGCCTTTTAGCAGGTGTGCCCCCTTCTCTGGGATGCCCCCCACCTAATGTTCTGGGGGTCCATGTTGCACTGGCAGGGCCCAGGCCTCAGGTCTTCTCAGAGTCTGGGTCCCCCAACCTGGAGGGCCTCCCTGTACCAGGTGGTCGGCCCAGCTCAGTGCGGAGGCCTCTGCAGGTGGAGCGCTCTGAGCGGTGGGCCGAGCGCCTTCAGGCCCGGCCCGCCCTCCCGGGCCCTGGTGTCCCATGTCCCCATCTGGCTGTGGGACACCGGACAAGTCGCTGACATCTCAGGGCCTCAGTCTCCCCGTCTGACTGAATGATCTTGGGTCTGTCTTTTCTTAACCAAATGAAAGCCAAGTGCTGTTCTCTAGAGGCCCCCCCTGAAATCTCCTCCATCCAGAAGGCTCCCCCACTGTTTTCTTTGGTAAACATGTTCCTTGAGGCCAGAGATGGCACCTGCATTATACTGTGTCCTGCCCGACACCTGGCATCCAGGATGCTCTCCAAATGACTGATGACGTGGGTGACGGCTCAGGGCTTGTGCCTGTGTTAAGTGTACTCGATGCGAGAACCAGACGTCAGTCTGGGAGGTTCAAGGGGCGCCTCTCACCTGTAGGGCCAACCCTTGTCTAAGGCTGTCGCCGGGAAGTCAAGGTTGGGTGGACTTGTACTGGGCCCTTAGTCCTCAGGGCCAGTCTTGTGGGCCTCATCTCTGCCGCCTCCTCCCTCCTGACTGCTGGGAGACTGGAGTGGTCAGGGAGGCTTCTGTGAGCTCCTCAGAGGAGAGGTAGGAGTTGAGGCTCACAGCATCACAGTCATCTGTGGCCCAGGTGCTTGGCATATAAATTCTGGCCTGAGGGGGTGTTTGAAACCTTTGTGACTCAATTGTGGTCCAAGGTCCAGCAACATCAGTGTCACCTGGGAGCTTACTGGAAATGCAGAATCTTAGTCCCATCTCAAACCTATGGAATCAAAGTCTGAATTTTACTAAGACCCCCAGGGTATAAAGTCGAGAAGCTCTGCTCTTAAACTGTGGATCCTAGTAGACAGTTCTCCATGCCACCCTCCTTGTGTGGTCCTGGCTCATGCCATCAAGGGGCCTAGTACCCACCGTCTTCCCACAAGCCAAGCACGGGCAGCCCTGAGGGTATGCATCTCAATGAGACAGGCCGCAGGGCCGTGCAGGCTCTGTACTCAGCCATACTCCCTCCCCCCACCTCCTGCTGGAGGTCAGCTATGGATAGGGCACTGGCTGGCCTTTGCAGGATACAAGGTGACTCAGCGCAGAATCCTGCCCACAGGCTGCCTGTGGTCTAGTAGAAGAGATAGGCTACCTACCCCCCTGACCACTGAGTGGTATAAAATGCCATTGGATGAGAACCAAGAGGCCAGAACTTCTGGGAGGCACAATGCCTTTTAGCTAGAGTGGTCAGGAAAGCATCATAGGGGAGGTGGCATCTGTGCCAGGCCTTGAAGCCCAGGTGGGATTAGTTACGTATTTGTGGGGGAAAGGTGGGGCCAGAGAGGCAGGAAATTATAGGGGCAGAGATGGAAGCAGCTTCACGAGGAAGGAGAAACAGAGGGAATGGAGTTTGGAAAGGCCAGTTGAGTCCCACCCTGGCTGGCCATGGTTGCCAGGCCACCGGGAATCCCTTCTGAAGGCAGTGAGGGCTGGGAATGCTTTTGAGCAGGGGAGTGATGGACGGAGAGCCAGGTGCCAGGGAGGCAAATGTGGCAGCAGTTTGAGTGGAGCAGTGTCAATTTAAGCAGAATCATTTTAAAGCTTTGTTGACCAAACATGGATGAGAAAGGGGAGAGGAGGAAACCAGGAGACCTTGGCAGTGGTCCTGGCAGGCCTAAGCAGGGCAGGGTGATCTGGGTGGGGCAGGAGCACAGGAGAAGCCAACTGATTCTCAGGGGACCCAGAAGGACTGGATCAACTTTGAAATAGGAGAATTTGGCTGTGTTAGGCAGGCTTCAGTTCATTCTCAAGATTTTTTCAATATTATCTTCAGCCACTCCCACCCCAGCACACACACAGACTGGCCATCGCAGCCCCCAGGCTGTGCCAGGTCAAGGGCCGTCAGGCCGTGTATGGGGGATGAAGATCTTGTGCGGGCCCAGCCCTGCACTGTCCCTGCTTCCAGGGGGTCTAGTGGTGAAGCAGCACCTGGTGGGTGATCAAGAGCCGAGGGCTGTGGCAGGGCCCCAAGTCCAGCCGATTTGCCTGAACAAGAGTCCCCTAGGGCTGGGGGCTTTTCAGAGGGGCTGAGCCTTGGGCCAGGCTGGGAGCCTGGGCAAGACTAAGGGGGAGGCTCCCAGCTCCCTCCTAGGTGGGAGCCAGCCACCCAGGGTGCTCAGAAGAGAGCTTTGGAGCACCATATCCGGGCCCTAGCACATAGACGCCCCTTTTTCCATGGAGCATTTTGGACATCCCTCCCTAGGGCCCCTCAAAACCTGGCATTCTAGGTCACCTGCCTGTGTCATGGGTCAAAATCCCTGCAATGCAACAGCCTCCCTGCCTTTCTTTTTTTCCCAAGCTGCGTTTATTTTTAGTGCCATCCCAGTGCCTTCCGAAGCTGTCTCTCTGATCCTTTTAGGGATCAGTTGCAAACAGACCTTGGTATTGGGCAGCTTTTTAGTCATTTAATGCAAATCGCTGCACTGCTTTGCAGGTCAGGTTTTAATGATCTGGAATCTATCCGATCAGAGCTGATGGCTTGATTTTTGCTGCAGTTTTTAGTTGGTTTCAGGGTAAATTTTTTTCACCTCTTCTTTGTATTTGAATGTGTGTTTTTTCCCTCCTAGGTAATTTTGAATGTGGAAATCCAGAGAAGCTAAAAAGCAAATGCATTCCTGTAATGGAAGCCCAGGAATATATAGCAGTAAGTAGGCTGCAGTGCGCGTCCGTTCCCAGGAGGTCCTGGTGCTGTTGTGTTGATCCCTCGGGCCCTGCGTTTTTTTTTCCCTTTTTGTTTTGTGTTTGCTTTCCCTTTTTTTAAAAAAAAAATTGTTTTAACTCAGTTGAGTGTTAGGCTACCTTAAGTTAAGGCAGTGATGGGGTGACTGGGCCCAAGGTGAGCTGTGAGCCAGAGCCAGGCCTGCCGCAGCTCGTTCCTGACCTGCTGCTCCCTGACCAGCCGGCATGGGCTGCTGCCACTGCCCCTTCTTTAAGTGGCCCTGTGACTTGCTCTTCCTTTGACTCATTTTTTTCCCCCCTTCTCAGCAGCCTTAAGACATTTAACCTGTCATTCTCTCCCCTCAGGATTACCATCTGGGTTGCTCTGAGTCCATTTGATTTTCAGTGTGGCCTCAGGATGACAGAATTACAGATTTTTGGAACTGGCAGAAACCTAAGGGGTCACCTCGTCCAATTTTCATTTCACAGATGAGGAACCTGAGGCCTAGAGAGGGGAGGGACTTGCCCAAGGCCACACAGCCGGGACTGGCCGCAGGGCCGCCACCCCGA